AGTTGGAGGTTGCTGTGAGCTGTAATGCCATGGCACTCTACCCAGGGGGACAGCTTGAGGCTCTGTCTCAAAAAAAAATAAAATAAAAAAAAAAAAAATAAAATTCAACTCTGCCTGTTATCTCTCCACTCTGGGGAGGGTCTACACGGTGCACAGGACCCAAATTGCAGGACACCTAAGTGAGGCATGACCCCTGGGGACAGGCAACCTCTCTATGAGCAGACACAGCTGTTTGGACTTTTTGAAACTGAACAAAGGCACTAAACCTACAGAATACCGTTCTTAAGGGAGATGGGTAACAAGCAATTCCCTCGAAAGATTTTCTATGGCTTTGAAAAGCAACACATGGAAGGAGACAGGAAACACTGTTTTTTCAGTATTTTGCCTTCCCAGGCACACTGCTACTTGGAAAAATTGTTTTTCTTAAAGTGAATTTTACCTTATAAAAATATTGATGTCAAATATTCATGCTTAAGTAAGAATCCAAATTGTACCCGAACTTCAACAGAAGTCTATTGCTATGATGTCTAGAAGGAATATCTATCAATCCTACTGGGCAATGTTCAGCAGTCTAGGGGGAGACAGGAGGGAAAACCAGAGGCTCCAAATCAGCCCTATTCAAGAGGAAGACATCACTATGGCCATGGCTGCCAACTTATTTGTGATGTAAAGTGATTTCCACATGTTGATAACCCTCTGGGGTTCTGAAACTCACTGGCAGATGTGGATCAGGCCTGCTTACTTGACTCCCAGGGGGAGATTAACTATATGGACTCAATGTAGCAACAAGGGGACTTGTGCAGTCTACTCCAGTCACCAAAATCTCACCGTGCAGCCACTGTGGCAGTACAGAAATGTTACTTGAAGAGATCCCAGGTCTAAAGTAGCCCTTGGCTGCTCTCAGTCCACAATCCCACCCATCTGAGGCATCACAGGTCTGGGGCACTCTACCAAGCATTGTATGACATTCCACCATTCTCATATACCCATGGCCTAACATCAGAAAGTCCCCACAGAGCCTTGTTGTAAGAAGTTCAGAGGCTCACTGAGGCTTAGAGAAAGAACCTAGGTGTCTTGGCCAAGTCACGCATGTTATTAAGTCACAGATCTGGCAACCCACGGTTCTTCCCAACACTCTTTTTACTGTGTTATTGCAATAAAAATGTTTGGAAAAACACTGAAAAAAAATCGAGGATATTTAATAATGTAGAAGTGCTCAAATATAGGTAAGTTCTCAGAAACATCTGCAGTAAAGAGTATCTTAGCTAAACAGACCCTTAAGAATGAATCTTTTTGAGACACAAAATTTCAGTTTCCAAGTGATGACTCTATCCAACAGCAGGTATAGGAAGGCAGAACAGAGAAAGAACCATGGAGATCACATTATAAAGATGTATGTTTAAATGAGATTTATAAACTTGATTTGTTCAAAGGGTCCACCTATTCACAACTCCATTAACACAAAGAAGAAGATAATTACTTCTCTATATACCATATATAATTGAACTAAGTATCAAAGGTACATTTAAAAAGAAATTTGAGATTTTTAAGTTTGATCAAGTGTTTTTCAGTTTGGTTAATCATAAACAAGTAACACATACAGCATGTTTCATTATAAAAACAAAAGGAGAGTATTAGAGTTGATGAACAGGGTAGTCAGAATATGCCCCAGAAGCAGAATGAACTTTCATGACAACAGACAGTGTTATTACCTGTTAGTGTTTAGTCAGGACCACACTCTACGTGGACTCCACTTAATAGGACCCAAGTAACAAAATAACATGAAAATGTAGAAGCATGTATTATCTAAACATGATCTTATTACGCTTTTCAGCAGTAAAAAGGAAATAAAACAAAAATTAAAAGTTATATAACGCCACTTTTATAAAATCTTATAAACCCATGGTTGGGGTTTTTGTTTACATTGCTTACTTGCTTAGAAAATTCTAAGAATGAAATTGATTTGACTTTATTTTCCAAACCCCAAACTGAAATGTTGTTCTGAAATCCAAATTCACCTCCATGAAATTCACCGTTAGAAAATGAGAAGTCATACTACAGAACTTTATACAGTGGATAAATACAAAGCTCAGCACTTCCTTCCTGCTAGATTAATCTAAGGTCAGGGAGTAGGAATGACTGCAGAGCACTCAGGCAATAATTTACTTGATATTAACCAAAATCAATTCTGACAAAGAGTTCTCAAATATTTTGGGACATAGTATAGTATTGTTATCTATGACTATGCTCTGAAGAAAGCAGAATATTCATGGAAGCATAAAACAATTTTACCTTTAAATAAAAATACTTTATTCATTCCTCACAGGTTATCAAAATGTACACTGTTAACCAAGTAAAAATGGTACGTCAAAATAGTTGAATAGGGCATATTTAGAGAATTTTTGTTTAATTTTAGAAGAGGTAAAAAACACTTGCAATCTCCCCTTCAACATTCCTGACAAGCTTATACTATACTTCCTTCAAATTGAACATATAAACAATTATATGGGCCCCAGTTCACTACAGAATGCACATTTTCATTTACACTTAAAATAAAGAAGCTATTACATTTAGGTTACTTTCTTTTGCCAAAATTTTCAGATGAGTTTACTTCTCTTTATATTTTGTATAACTGTAAATTACATACAGAATATAACACATGACTCTTATTAACCTAAACACATACACACACATATATATATAGGATAAAGTGCAACACAACAGAACACGTCTGTGACATTCACTTTCTCAAACCCCCACACAAGGATTTTCTGAGTATGGAAATAATGTTCCTCTCAAGTGCATGAGCACTAAATCCAACAGAGTAGGTTATTTTCTTCACAATGATATTTAAATTGACAATTCTATTTGTTTTGCTTCCCTGTGGCTTTGTCTCTCATTCTGAATCAAAGTTTTGAAGCTGTAATTCTTTTTAAACCTTGAGAAAAATCGACTCTATAGAGCTACACAAATAGTGTTAACAGTAGGCTTCCAATGACATATGTAACAAGAAGTATAGTCATCTTAATAAAAGTGAGCATTCCACTAACTTGGCAGGAAATGGATGACCTTTGACACTAGCCACCAAACATTTCTACAGGCAAGTACCAAACTAGCCCTAAAATGTCAGAATTTTTTGGTTGCATGTTGTTTTGACATTAAATTATTTAACTAAAAATGCTTTTGTTCCTGAGATGAGTACAATAAAATTAAATGAGTTTCCTCTAAAGCTACAATGGGACACTATTCTCCCTATCTGCACTCTGATCATCTTCATAGTCTTGAAGACATCAGTGTGAGACATCAGTCTTCCCCATGGCGCCATTTCTGTGATTCATCTTGCCGGACATCTGGTCTAATTTGGTTTCTCATGCCACCTAACACATTCGATGTTGCTTCCGTGGCAACAATTAGAGGTTTCACCACTGCTGGAGGAATCTGGCGCAGAACTTCACCCACAGCACCAGTGACCCCTCTGCTCTCGTGTTCACGGGCTGCTGTTTCATAGATGGTCTGAGCCGTGTCTGTGATTCCCTGAAGAGGAGTGTGGGGGAGAGGGGTGTACGTTACTGGTCAGGAAGCTCTCTACGTTATCCTATCATATATACTTTTAGTACAGTCCATCACCATTATGTTTATTAACTACATTAAAAACACTGTGCTTTTGAAATAACCCAGGATGATTATTTTTATGACAAAATTCTAATTATGGGAAAGAACAATTATTACAATTTAGAATTTTATTGTGACACTGATGTGTGGAAAACGTAGCTATACTACAATTTCACACAGGAAAGCTTACAGAAATACTTAATGATCCACAAATAGCCTTGCTGGCACTATTAATCAACTCTAGTTAAACCGAACTTAGCGAATAAAGTTTCTTAAATTCACTCATTGAAGAAATATGGTGATAGCGCCTTTTGATTTGACAACAAAAAAATAAATTCTACTAACCTAGAAAATTATTTAACTTGTCTTAAATTACTGGCTATGTATTAGAAAAAATAATTGTGTAATATTCAACTAAGATAAAAAGCTCAATAGAACAGTTTATTGGATTAAATAGAAAATTCTGAGAAAAACAGAAGCATGTTTAATAACTAGAATCATTTAGAAAAAAACTTCAGTAGGATTTTCGAGTTTTTCTGTAACTATATAACATTATTTTAATGTTGAATAAAGCTAAGCTTTGAAGCTGAATATATAATATAAATGTGCAAATCAAGCCAATACGGTAAAAAGTCACCTGGCTTTCAAATCTCTACCACTTATCTAACTCAGAAATCCCCAGGGGACACAAAGCAATGTTCCGTTGTGACAGCGTCAGCGATAGGGACAGTAAAAACAAACTTTGTGTTCTCAGGGGAAATTGAGGACTTTTTCTTTCTTTCTTTTTTTTTTAATAGAGACCTAGTCTCACTTTATTGCCCTTGGTAGAGTGCCATGGAATCATAGCTCACAGCAACCTCCAGCTCTTGGGTGTAGGTGATTCTCCCGCCTCAGCCTTCCGACTAGCTGGGACTACAGGTGCCCACTACAACACTCGGCTATTTTCTTTTGTTGCAATTTGGCAGGGCTGGGTTTGAAATCGCCACCCTCGGTATATGGGGCCAGCGCCCTACTCACTGAGCCACAGATGCTGCCCTCTTTTTTTTTTTTTAGAGACAGTCTTACTTTGTCACCCTCAGTACAGTGCTGTGGTGCCACAGCTCACAGAAACCTCCTGCTCTTGGGCTTAAGCGATTCTCTTACCTCAACCTCCCAAGTAACTGGGACTACAGGTGCCTGCCACAACGCCCTGGCTATTTTTGTTGTTGTTGCAGTTTTACCAGGGCCAGGTTCGAACCTGCCACCCGCAGTATATGGGGCTGGTGCCCTACTCACTGAGCCACAGGCACTGCCCTGTTCTTTTTTTCTGAAAGTTCACATGTATTCTTTAATTCTAGACATCACCATCTCAAGGACCTTGTTCTAACCTAGAATCTAGCCACAATTTTGACAAGCTATCATTTCTACCCAGAGCAGTAGGCAAAAATATGTAATACTATCAAGGGGTAAAAAAAGTCCAGAGAAACTAAAAGAAATACAAATGCTATTTTAAAAATTATCTACAAGACAACAGCCAATAAGAGAAACCATGAATACAATGAAGAAAGTGTTTATGATTTTTTCCTGCATCATCTCCTTCCCTCCTTACCCCAGCACCAGCAAACAGGTATTTGTTTTATTATAATGACTAACACCATCAAGTTTGGAAACAACAGAAGTAAATTCGTATCTCAGCTCTATCACTTAGCTATGTGACCTTGGATAAGTCATTTAAATGGGGAATAAAATATGGCTTTCCTTCTAATGTGAACGTTAGAATTAAATAAAATAATTAATCTCAAGAGCTTGGACAATAATAAGTATTTAATAAATAACTCCTAGATAACTACTAGTGCCCTTACAACTACCTGACTACCACCAAATTAGGGCCAAGTGCAGTGCCTCCCAGTTACACAGGAGGCCAACGCAGGAGGATCACTTGAGGTCAGAAGCTTGAGACTAGCTGAGACATCAGCATAAGACCCAGTAAGTACAGAAAAAAATATGTGCCACCTTCAGGATGGAAAGATGGGCAATTCCCCTGAAAAGTTCTATTTCTTAAACAAATCCAAGGTAAACAAACTACAAATAAGTGTTAAACCTAGACAGTAAGTATACAGGTGTGTTTCTATCATTCCCTGCATGCTTCTGTGTGTAAAGAAAGAGCACAGTCTGTCTATTTGGTCACTACTTTCATGTGAGGCTACTGGTCACAACCCAGCCCTCTTCTTTCGCCCCACACAGATACATGCACGTGTTATTGGTGGCAGTTCTCACTGCACTTTCAGGGGTTTCTCTGGAATAAACTAAAACCATTGGATGCCCTTCAGGTGAAAGCTCGGAAGCACACAAACAGGTCCTGACTTGTCCACTCCAGTATTCAATTACCTCTTTCACAACACTGTAGGCCTTGGCCACACCTTCCCTCAGGTCTACTGGCTGGTGGGCTAGCCGGTGATGAGGAAATCTTTTGGTCTTCTTGGGCTCGATAGAAAGAGTACCAGGAGAAACCATGTCATAAGCGGTCTCTGCTGCTGCCTGGATCATTTGTCAAAGGCAAGAAATGAATTAGATCAAAGTCTCAGAATTAAGCACCCAGAGTGCGCTTCCTACAGTGATGAAGAAGAGGAACTCACACGCCCTAACACAGATACTTCTATGTGTTTGAATTCTTTACAACAAGAAATTACAACTTGTGTAACAAGGACATTAAAGTGTAAATTAAAAACTGATACCTAGATTAAGCTGATTTGTTTAGCCTTTCCTTTGCCTGCTGAGAATATTCAACATTACCACGTCAGCCCATGAAGCTTAAGACTTAATACCACTACTATCAAATCTATAATACTTTCTTTAAATTTAGCTGATATTTTCATACAAATGTAAAATAATCCTCTGCTAACTTAACGGTTATAGGTAATCTAAAATAGGCAAACAAATCTGACACTGTATTCTACTGGTTTATTTTATTATTAACGTGGCCATTTAAGCAATAAAATGAGCATGACATTAAATCATTACACAAAAAGTATCTACTCTCGACATTTTGTGTATTTTCAGAGTATTGTTTTAAAAACAAAATAAGCCACTGTTTTATAATAACTCTTCCTCGTTGTATAGATTTAGGCAGTCTAAGGAAAGATACCTGTATTGTTTGAACCATTCGGTTTGTGAGTTCCAGTGCAGCCATTGCTGTCGAGGTACCAAAGGAAGCAGCACCTCTCTGAAATCCTCTGACAATACGGCCATCCTTCCGGTACTGCTCTATTGGTAACCAGACCAAGTCCTTTAGGCCTTGCACTAGAACAGTCAACATGAAGACATCAACATGAGTGCTGGAGTTCAAATCTCTGCTATCATTTTAATGCTGAGGTTTTAACTCCTGAAACTGGAGGCAAAGTTTTGTAGGTGTGAATAAATACAGCATATAGGTTTTCTTCACCGGTAGCCCTCACATAGACTCTCAAAGGCATCTACAACCCTAAGAGGGTTAAGAAGCACTGATCTAGAAAAATAACTTCTCTTTTGATAAAACAAAACAAAACAAACAACAAAAAAAGACTCACCTAATTGTACCAGTGAATGCATAGGCCCAACACCTCCCAGTATGCCTGGTAGCTGATTCTTCTTAATGTCATTAAGCCATTCAGTGATTGCATATGAGAATAATTTGTCAACACCTAACAAACTAGAGCAAATGACTATTAGTGTATAGGAAGGAGAAATACATATATACACTTAGACAATTTGAGAAGTTTTTTTAATGTAAGAAAAAGATTATAAATCACAAGGACAAAGATTACAGATGCTCGTAGAAAAGCTAAATAGTTGTTAAATAAAAAAAAAACACACACACAAATCATTTAACTCCTAATCTGAACTTCTCTGTATATTATATATAATATACATACCATTAAATTATAAAGTTAACTATTTCTACAAGGCTTTGGGAATGTATATAAGTATGTTTTTCCACTGTTATTTCTTGAACACATAAGGCTCTGGCACAGAATTAATCCAAAGTCTATAAACTGCCACTAATTGCTAAGAACCACTACAACCTCAAGAATTTCCAGTCTTTTTACTGAATAAACTAATTTGCAAACTTTAGGAGATTATTAAAACTAAAGTTTTTAAAAAAAAAATACTACTCTGTTCAAATTATTTCTAAAAATTAGCATCTAATCTGTAAGGAACCTCTAAAAATGATCTCTCTGCAGATAATACTGTAAAATTAAATTATGTATGCTTGCTTAAAAAAAATCAGTTTTTAATCTGTTGTAAACTAACTTCACCGTAAATCTTCATATAACAAATCGACTTACCCGTGCCGATAGAAAAGCCTCTTTAGCTTGAGTTCAGAGCAGTTTAACTGGGCCAGACCAATCAAAATCCCAGCTAATGTACCCTTTAAAATTAAGAAAGGCCAGATTCATCTGTAAATTAAGAAACTCAACATTTAAAATAATTGTTAATTTGAAAGTCAAAGCAATGGTAATTGTTGGCATTAAAACACTTAAAATATTTACAGCAAAAACATTTATAAGATAATATATACCAATTTATGCCAAAATTTACTCGTGGTACTTTGATGTTTACTCCAAAAACAATTAAAATTTGAAAACTTTCCATTTAATTTCAAATATATATATATAAACTATGAAAAAGCAAAGTTTAAAAAAACACTTGAATTAATTAGAAAAAGAAATAAGATGTTTTATAGAGTATATTTGTGTAGTTTCCAAACCTGATCCATTGATACATGTTTGCCATGATAATCAAGTCGAATAGGAACTTCTGACGTGAATCTAAATTCCCTGAAGATAAAGAAAGAAGGAAAGTTATTTACATTTAAAATTACTAATAGTTGGAAATTAGATACAAATTAATTTGTTCAATTGGAGAATAAAAATAAAACCACAAAATAACTAAGAATATCTTAAGGACTAAATAAGAGAATATTTTTCAGCTCTACATTAATGTAAGATAACAAGTAAAGAGATATTAATCATCTTATAAATTATGTTATTATATTTACATCTCACAAAAAACTTTTCTTAGTTTATGGAATGACATTTACTTTTAGAAAAATTTACTCTGGGCTCAGCGCCTGTGGCTCAAGTAGCTAAGGTGCCAGCCACATACACCTAAGGTGGCGGATTTGAATCCAGCCCGGGCCGCCAAACAATGATGGCTGCAACCAAAAAATAGCCGGGTTTTGTGGCGGGCGCCTGTGGTCCCAGCTACTTGGGAGGCAGAGGCAGGAGACTTGCTTGAGCCCAGGAGTTGGAGATTGCTGTGAGCTGTGATGCCACAGCACTCTACCCAGGGAAAGAGCCTGAGACTCTGTCTTAAAAAAAAAAAACAAAAACAAAAAATTTATTCTGGTAGATAGTCTCAGTCCATACAAAGAACAAACAGTAAAAGGAACCTCAAGATAAGCCACATAATCATTACCAAGAAAAAAAGAGAGAAGTAGGGCGGCGCCTGTGGCTCAAAGGAGTAGGGCACCGGCCCCATATGTAGGAGGTGGCAGGTTCAAGCCCAGCCCTGGCCAAAAACTGCAAAAAAAAAAAAAAAGAGAGAGAGAGAGAGAAGTAGTAGTTTCAGAAAACGTGGGCATGAATCCCAGCTTTATCAATGGGATGCAATCTTGGGCAAGTCATTTAAACTTGCTGCTCCTCAACACCTTCATCATAAATGCTTAAAATGCCACCTACATTGGTGAATTTTGGTCAGAATTCTTAAAATTAATCCTAGCAAAAAGAATATTAACAAATACTAGGAACTGTATGAGAATGAAATTATATAGTTGTCCCTTGGTATCCAAGGAGGTCTGGTTCCAGGACCCTCCTGGATACCAAACTACTTAATGTTCAAGTCCCTTTCATAAAATGGCATAGTGTCTGCACAAAACCCACAAGTGACCCTCCCATATACTTTAAATCATTCCTAGATTACTTATAATACCTAATACAATGTAAATGCTATATAAATAGTGGTTATATTTTTATTTGCATATTCATTGATACGTTATTTATTTTTTTCCAATTAGTTTTGAAAGATTTTCAACCACAGTTGGTTGAATCTCAGATGTGGAATTCATGGCTATGGAAGGCTAATATATACATTTATAGTACCCATCAAACTGGCCTCCAAAAGTTCATTCTAAACTAAATGTCCAGAATCTGAAACACATTTTTTTCCCACAGAAGTAATGTTGGTGGTTGTATCCTAAGCCATCCCATAAAAGTCCACTTTACCTACAACAAAATGGAAGGAAATGCTGTACAAGACGCCTGGGATCTCAGGCGATCCCTTATCCTCTGAATACTCAATACCTTCTCAACAGCCCCCTCCTCCCTTCCCACTCTTTTTGTCTCCATGGCACAAATATTAGGACAAACCATTTATTTTAGCTACTTGTAAGTTATAAACTCAAGTAAGTAAATATTTTTCTCTATTTTGTTCACTATGCCTAGACCGGACCTGGAATATAGGAAGTGCTCAATAAGCATTTGTAGAATGAATGTTTATGGGGGGTGGGGGGATTATGATGACATAACTGAAAAATGGACTTGATTTTTTGGATTGGGAATAAGAAGACCTAGGTTCTAGTCCTGGCTCCGTCACTGACTGAGTGGTCTTGAGCAAGTCATCTCACCTCTCTGGGCATTACTCTATCTATAATGTGTAGAATTTGGACTACATTACTATTACACCCCAACATCATAAACTCTCTAGGAAATTTTGAGAATAGAAATAAAGATATATAAGCTATTATCAGTATCTTAAATAGTCTAATAAGAAAATGTACCTAAGAAGTAGGGCTTGAGTACTTTTGTAGCTTAGTAACCCTACTCAATAAGGTCAAATTTTTTGCTTTAAGCCCCATGTTTACAAAAACAAAATTGATAGTTTACATGTGATAAATATAAAATAAGAATTCAAATTACCACTCAAGATGCACAGTTTTGTTTTGTTTTTTTGAGATAAGAGTCTCACTTTGTCACCCTTGGTAGAGTGCCATGGTGTCGCATCTCACACCAACATCAAGCTCTTGGGCTCAAGTGATCCTCTTGCTTCAGCCTCCCAAGTAGCTGGAACTACAGGTGTCAGCCACAGTACCTGGCTATTTTTAGAGATGGGGTCTTGAACACCTGAGCTCAGGCAATCCCCCTGCCTTGGCCTGCCTCCCAGAGGGCTAGGATTACAGGCATGAGTAACCATACCTGCCCACAATTTTTTGATAGAAAATATTTTAAGTAAAAGATCAGTGTGAAATTAATAAAACAGGTGGGTTCTTCTTTTGTGACAGAAAGATTTAGAACCACCAGAGATCATCTATTCCAATTCTAATTTTCTATTATTTTTTTCCTATTTTCATCTGTTTATAAGATATTTAAAATACGGCAACACTTTCAAATAGTAATACTGCCTTCTTTGGGCCATATCTGAAGTTTAACCTCAGAAATTGGAGGAAAAGACAAAGAGAAACAGGGAACCCTAGGTGTCCAGAGCATAGCAGGGGTACAGAAAATAAGAGAAGGCAGCTAACTGCCCCTCACAATAAGGGGGATTTGCCCAGCAATCCCTTCTCCTTCCACTAGTGCCAAGGGACCATCTCTACCATCAAGGGTTGGTAAAAACAGTTTAGAAAAAGAATGGGTCTGCAAAGAAGGGATAAATTCAGTGTGCTGTGTCCAGCAGGCTGAGCAATTGGGCAGTGGTCACAGCAGACAGTAGCAGCAAAAGAGACCTGGGTTTCCTAATAGTGTCCACTTAGCCAGGGATGGAAGGGTGAGGAAAGGTAACAGTGATGGAGAAGGACAGATGGAGAAAACTAGGTTTAAAAAAGTCCTATAAAGGAAAAGGCAGGAACGCCCAAGTTGAGGTCTGTAGGGACAAAGGCAAAAGGATGACACGATGTTTGGGGGGGGGCACAAATAAATATACCATAACAGTGACCAGGAAGAGGGGAACATAGGGGGAAAGAAAAGGAAGAAGCTAGGAGGAAAAAGGAAATTCCTGCTGCAGAATCAAAAGAAAGATGAATCCTAAACCAAAGTTACGATGGGTAAATGAAGGGTACAAGTTAGGAAGGGATCACATACAAATAAACAGACCAAGTTAGCTGTTTGGCAATGCAAAGAAAGCTGATGTACCCTCATTAATACCAGTACACATACACATTACAGAACAATCTGCAAAATAACGTGTCATCAAAATTAACTTATTATTAATTTATTTACCTAAAAAACACAGGTTGATCACTAAATGATGCTTCTTCAGCAGAGAAGTCCTTCTCCTCCAACCCATTAACCACTTCCACCGAATTGGCACTATCATTTTGAGAAGGTTGTTTTGGCCCAGGGAAAGAAATAACTAGATTTGGCTCCTTTGAGGTACTCAAATGCCTTGGCAAACTGCAAGTGACATCAGCTCCAGGAGACTTTTTAACTGAAATTGTAATGTGTACATTTAAAAAATTAAGTATGCATCTTTAGAAAACCCATGTAAATCAATTTTGATTTAATTTGTTTTGCTATATTTTGTTTACTCAAAATATAATTTCTGTTACAAAGAAAATTTGCTTTCACCTTTTAAATTATTTTACATAAACTACATTTGCATAAATTAACAAGCCAGAATACATTTATATAAACAAGAATGAAGGATTTAAGTACAGTCGTTAAACAAACCTCCTAACAATTAGAACCAATCCAAGTATCTGATAAAGGCTTTCATGCTACTCATATTTAATACCTTCTGGATCTGGAGTCGTTAGAAGCTCTACTTCTGTAGAAAGACTTGTGAAGAAATCCTTCAAGAAGAACAAGGCATCCTAAAATTGAGAGATATAATTATAATTAAAAGGAAACAAAAGTCATCTATTTTTTTTAAAACAATGAAAAAAGTATACTAAACTCATATTTTACCTGTTATTCACATATAACTATAATTTACTGAATCCTTACTGTGTCAGGCATCTCTCTCTCTCTCTCTCTCTCACACACACACACACTTCCCTGCTAATTCCCATAATCCTATGAGGAAATTAATTTATAGATATGAAAACTGAGAAACAGAAGTTAAAAATTATAAAGCAAGAAAGGATTTCTAATCAAAGTATATTTTTGTTTTCTTGTTTTTACTTGGCATTAACTCTCATTCTAACTTGGTAGTCATATTACTAACAATACTAGCAGGGAGCATGTACTGGATATTTATGCCCCTTGAAAGCTCTTAATGACTTACTTCTACTTTCACTGCTATGTTTTATTGCCTGACTTAATTCATCACTTAATTTTGACTATCATGGAATACTTAGTGTGGTCTCCTTGAAATTATATAATTATAAACAAAAAATACATGGTTCTGTGTTGATACTATATAACACACACGCCATATCTGCCGACCACTGGTAGCTTCATTTTGCCTACCTCACTTAAACCCACAATACACATGGGAGGACACAAAAATTAAATGCCTGCCCCTGATTTTTCTTAATCGTTCCTTCCATTTAAAAAAATCCTAAATTAATATAAAACATTAATACTGTACCAAAACACAATATAGGGGTCAAAATATTTTGTCAGGCAGACTGACAAGCCCAAAGGATGTGATGGTCTACTGGTCACACTGATCAGAAGTACAAATGAGCTGCATGTACCTGGTAACATGGCACATGGGAAACTAAACAGTGGACTGCAGAACAAGCAGGGAGTTTTAACAGGACTGGAAATGTCCTGGCTCAGAGGGGAGTAGTGGGTTCATGAATTATTCAATACATTGTTATTCTTAACATACATATTCTTTACATTACACATATTTAGTATGTATTGCATTTTATATATACTATAATAAATATTTTAATGCTATAAATGGTTTGACTCCAAGATTGCCTTCAAAGCAACAGGCAATTTCAGTTATCAATTCATTCTTTCAGAAATAAAGGACTGGGAGAAGTGGCTCAAGCCTGTAATCCTAGCACTCTGGGAGGCTGAGGTGAGAGGATCACTTGAGGTTGGCAGTTAGAGACCAGCCTGAGCAAGAGCAACCCCATCTCTACCAAAAATAGAAAAATAAGCCAGGCATGGTGGCAAGTTCCTATAGGCCCAGAGGCTTGGAAGGCTGAAGTAGGAGGATCACTTGGGCCCAATAGTTTGAGGTTGCTGTGAGTTAGGCTGATGCCATGGTACTCTAGATCAAGCAACAGAGTGAGACTGTCTCAGAGAAAAAAAAAAAAAAAGAAAGGAAAACTAAAGAGACAATGATCTCCACAGATTTTTCACCATAAACAAAGGGATATGAATCATCAGCTTTTAAAAATGTTATCAAAATTTGGTATTTATATAAAACTCTTTACAAGTCAATTTCAAAACTAGCAAGGCACAGACACTTTATAATCACAAAAGAAAATATACAAGCACCTACTAAACAGATAAAATGATGCATGTCAGCATCTATCACCAGGGAAATCCAAATGAAAACCACAATGAACATGAAGTAAAAAATAGCTAAAACTAAAAAGGTGACAATAGCAAGTTTGGTCAAGATATGAAGCAGCTGCAGCTCTCAACGTGACTGGTGCGAACGTCCAACGTGACAGCTCTAGAGAACTGTTTGGCAGCTTCTTAGCATACTCAAGCAATAATGATGAAAAACATAAATGTACAAACCTCACGTATATCTTCATGTTCATCCTATTAAGTCTCAATGGAACACTTCTCCATCTTACTTAGCAGAATGGTCTCCCAATCCTAATCCCCAGCCAGAAAAATCAGGCCATCAGTACCCTTACAAAAGTCTTAATCTGGCACAGCACTCAAGACTCAGCGATAGTCACCATCTCCAGAAAGCCGTCTCTGATCATTGCTCACTTGCAAACTCACAGCCCAGTGTAGGAGCCTTCTTCTGGTCAGGTATACCATCTTATGTCTATCATGACCACCTGTACTCACCACTGCACATTAAAGTTACCTGTTTAAAACTGAAAGGCTGAGGCGGGTGGACTGCTTGAGCTCAGGAGCTCAAGATCAGCCTGAGGAAGAGCAAGACCCCATCTCTACTTAAAAAAAAAAAGAGGGCTCAATGCCCATAGCAAAGTGGTTTCAGCGCCAGCCCCGTACACCAGGCCTGGCAGGTTCAAACCCAGTCTGGGCCTGCTAAACAACAATGACAACTACAACAAAAAAATAGCTAGGCATTGTGGTGGGCGCCTGTAGTCCCGGCTACTTGGGAGGCTGAGGCAAAAGAATTGCTTAAGCCCAAGAGTTTGAGGTTTCTGTGAGTTGTGATGCCACCATACTCTACAGAGGGAGACACAGTAAGACACTGTCTCAAAAATAAATAAATAAATAAGAAAAACTAGCTGGGCATGGTGG